TTAGTGTTCCTTTCATAGAGTCCATATTATTTTTTGTTCAGATTTATCATTAATTAATTTTCCATAAACACTGCAAAGGAATTAATAATCCTGGAGACATGACATTATCTATGATTTTCCAATTATCTAATTACTTGTGTATAAGACATTGCCAAGAAATTCAGATGAATATGAATTTCACACAGAAGTACAGTGCAAATCGAAACCCAGTTGTGGAAATGCGCACAAATAAGCTTAAAAACACTGTACTGCGTGCTGTTTACAATAGTGCAAATGTTTGCAATTTCATTTTATTACTGTCACTGTATGTCAGTCAGGCACAGGCCGGGCATGTTTGATCTGATGTTCAATATACACTTACAGCTTTGGTTTCAAAGAAAAAAACTTGTCCCCTTTGTTTTCACTAATATTGAAATAGTAGAAACTTACTTACTCAAGGGATATGCGAGGCACCCAAGGTGTCTGTAAATTATATTTCATAATGGGCAAGGGGTCTTTTTTTTCAACATTTTTAGGAATGAATATTTGACCATAATTTATGTATTCACTATAAAATTTCATGTCAAATAAAATATACTATACTAAAGTTGACACTAAGGGGTATATGGTTTTCTTGTAAATTTGTTGCATGGATGGGTTCTTTCCAAACTGATTCACTCGCATTTCTACAATTGTGTTCTGGTTTGCACTGATTCTGCTTGGAACTAATATGCCAGCTGCTGGTAATGTGAGGGCAGATTACTGTTGAGTTCGAAAGCTAGTTTTCAACAGAAACAGTGTAACAGTTGTACTACTATAAACATCACATGCACTGCTTATCGGAAAAACAATCATAATATTATTACTTCACACTTGCTGTAACTGTGACTACGCCAAGCAATCACTTTGCCGGCAATATTTGATGTTGTACATTCATGTAGGCAGTTGTGGGTGAACAGTGGGTACTAATATAATAGTTTTTGTTTTATTACAATGTATAAATTATGTGATCCAATTATAAATCAGTGTACAATTTTGTATTAGTATAATTGTTTTATTTTATTATACTTTATTGTAATAGATGTTTGCAGCGATAATACTAACTTAACATCATTATAACAATATTCAATGATTACAAGTACATGTTATATTTATGCCAATATCTCAAGATTTATGATTTATTGTGTATGTATTATCAAGGATTTGGCGATGACACTTACTTGGCCCTCCGGGTCCATTAGGTCCCCCTGGTCCTCCTGGTCCCCCTGGTCCCCCTGGACCACCTGGCTCACCAGGGCCTGCATTGCCGGTGTTATTACTGCAATAAAATTTCAACGATTGCTTAATTGTTGTATATTGTGTGATTAGGATGTGCTGTAAACATTTACATTACACAACAGTAATTTAAAATAAAATACTGCTTTACCTGTAGTCAGTTCAGGCCCACCTGGCCCTCCAGGACCACCAGGTCCAAATGGCCCTCCAGGACCACCAGGTCCAAATGGCCCTCCTGGGCCAAAGGGACCACCAGGTCCACCACTTACACCAATATCATCAGGTAGAGTTACACCAGGTGCTAAAGATGGACCATCTGGTCCACCAGGTCCATCAGGCCCCCCAGGTCCCCCAGGTCCACCTGGTCCTCCAGGACCTCCAGGTCCTCCTGGACCACCAGGACCCAACGGCCCTAATGGTTCACCGACATTATCTGGAATTTCTAGTTCTTCTTCAGGAGTAGGTGTGGGTCCGCCTGGTCCACCAGGCCCATTTGGTCCACCTGGTCCATTTGGCCCACCTGGCCCATTTGGCCCTCCTGGTCCATTTGGTCCTCCAGGACCATCAGGTCCACCTGGTCCACCTGGACCTTGTGGGCCCCCTGGACCACCGGGTCCACCAGGACCTCCTGGTTTTCCCACATCAGGAGGTGTTGTCTCATCGGTAGCAAGGGTTGGTCCTCCCGGCCCTCCTGGTCCTCCAGGGCCCCCTGGTCCACCTGGCCCTCCAGGTCCTCCAGGTCCACCTGGACCAAGTGGCTTCCCAGGATCACCAATGTCTTCTGGATTGACTTCAGGTCCACCTGGTCCATCAGGCCCATTGGGACCCCCAGGCCCATCTTTACAAAAGACAGGTAATGAATATATTATGACAGTGTGGTATGTATGGTTGTAAGAAAACAAAATGTATTACCTTGTTCATTTGTGATATTTGCGCTTAATGCAAATAACTATACAATCAATTAATCAATCAATTATAAAAATGTATAAAGTGCCTCACTCCAAACTAAGTTTTGTTCAAAGGTGCTCGGAAAGTTATTCCATAATGTAGACTTTGTTGAATATATATGTTTTAAGGTAGCGAGACTATTATTTGTGTTGAAAATTACGATTTTCATATTTACAATGTATTTATTAATTGATGAAATGCACTATAAACTTTCATATGATAAAGTCAACATAACATAGAATGTCATGTAAGTTGGTTAAAATGTAGATTTTCTGAAGGAAAGCAAGGCAGCCTCAGTAGTGTTTTCCAAAATCAACAACACAGGTTTAATCTGTGTGCCTATAAGTTTCAAAGATAAACTCAAGACAAAGCAAAAATTATGTTAGGATGTGTTATCAGTAGCTATCTGACACACAATGAGTGTTTCCAAACATTTGAGTGGTTTGTCTCCGCCCCTGTTTGTTTCACAGACTAGTCATTTGCATATGAATGTGTCAGACACAAGGTCACACAGCCACTGAAAAAAATCATTGATTTTGGTGTTTTCATATGCCGAATTTATCCAAATATAGCTATCCCATTCCTTTATTTTTTTGGTTTCCAATAGCCTTACACATTTGGATGTCCCTACACATGTTAAAACAGACCTTGATGGGAAAATAAATTGATTGTGCCAATAAACAAGCTTGAAAATCTTTGCTGTGACTTCATGGACGTTTTCTAGGAGTTTATGTTTTTCAAAATACAAGGTCTTTAACAAAAAATAACGTATACTTATTGTCGTCGGATTAACACCAAATTTTCACAGCTTTAAGGTGACAATGAGAGGAACTTGAATGTGTCCAGACAAACTATTTCATCGATTATTTACCAACGAGTTGTGGTTTGAGTTGGGGGCAATGCGACTAAAACAGTAATTGAAATTCAGCACACTATTTTTTAAAACGCTTGCTTGAATAAAACTGACCAGACACATTCAATTTACCAGACTATTGAACAACTAGGAAAAGTGAAAAAAAATACTTCTTATCGCCAGCATAAATGCGTAATTATTTTTTTTACAGAAAAAGTAATTTTTCACTTTTATGAGTAACGTCGTAGAATGCAGATACGGGCATGCAAAATACACTTGTGAAAAGCTTGAAGCTGGCGATTCTAAAAATATATACTTTCCCGGGTCTATTTGTAGTCATTCAGTCACAATTAGAAGATGAAAAACAAGTATGCAAATAATAGTCCCGCTACCTTAA